ATGGTGCTCTGAGCTTTGGATGGCGCTTGGGATAGCAGCCGGACCCACGCTCTCGAGCCCCCCTGAAAGGTCACTTACAGGGTTTGGTGCCCCATGAGTAAACCTCACCTGACTGGTAAAAATAGGAACATGCTCTTCAACGCGAGTTGCAAAGTCTGTACTTCTCAGGACATTGAACAACGAGTTGCGAAACGTCACTGACGAAGAAAGGCAAACTACCGGGCAGCCAGATGAAGGCCTTCCCAGAATCAACATCAATCCCTGTGCTTCTGACCAAAGGGCAACTGTCTAACATGTAATGATTAGCAAAATCCATGTTGTCAGACTCGAAGCCAAGGGTCTGCACACCAGGTTGGGGACCACCGCCGGTATGAAACGTCACGGGAGACTTAGACGCACCTAAGAACCGATCATAGGCGTCACGCGGAATCCCTTGGTCAAACAAGGCTTTGGCCGAACCTAAGTGACGACCAGCAGCAGTATCAGCGGCCCACTCAACAGCATAGGATGGACCAGCAGAGATAACAGGAGTCAACAAGCTAGAGGCAGCAACAAGCGCGACGACAGCTTTGGCTACTGCTCCAGGTTTGCTCTTGGCTCCATCTTTGGCTTTGGCTTTCGACTTCGGCGGAGCAGCCTTGTGACTAAACTTACAATTATCTCCATGAATGCAACCCGACGGCATCTGGAAGAAAATGCAAGGCGTCTTGGCTTTCTCAGCATCAGTCATGGCTTTCGCCTTAGCCTTAGCCTTTGATTTGGCTTTCGCATTTGCATTGGGCGCTGGGGCGCCAGGAGCAATCGGTGGAGGGGGAGGATCTGCCTTGGGCAAAGCACCTTTCGGAGGTGCAGCAGGTGGGGAAGCTTTCGGCTTACCATTTCCTCCATCTACAGCAGGAACAGCCTTCGTTTTCGGAGCAGGTGTGGCAGATTGCAGAGACTTCAGCACAGACTGCGCATTGGAATCCTCACGGTCCTGCACGATCAGATCCTGAATCTTATCCCACAAGTAAGACCACCCACGCCTATACGAAGATGCCCCAGATTCCCTGATGTCCTCAATAACGCGCTCAAGCTTGCGAATGTGTTTCACTCGATGGAAGAGCCATTCACCGGTGAGGCGATCATCAGGTCGTTGCCCGACCGGAATTGCACTGAGGACGAGGCGAATACGATTCACAAAGTCTCTCAAGTCCTTTATGGAACTTCCACCAAGTTCGATCTGAAACAAGGTTGATGCAGTCAGAACAGAACCTCTTACCCGATCGAGGTCGTAATGCCTTGCGATGATAGACAACATCACTCGACCTTTGGGCGATTGGCCAAGTTGACTACACCTTTCAATGTAAGCAGTGATATCTTGCTCAAGTTCAGAGGACTGCTTCAATACACGCCCTGATGACAGCTCACCAGCCATCCATGCATCGAGACGAGGAAGAAGCTCCGAATCTTGCAAGTCAGCTCTCTCAGCATCAAAGCCTCTGGAAATCCAAGCCAACACAAGACCTTGACCCGAAGTATCAAGCTTGGACAACTGAACCTTGAAACCATTCTTCCAAGTTCTAAAGCTTGCCGCATCTGAAGGGACAGGTTCAAGCTTGAGATGTAAGAGAGCCCTTTGATCAACAATGTCCTTTTCCCGAAGCTCTTTGGCAGCTTCTTGATCCTCAACTTCGTCATCTTCATTGGTCTCAACAGTACCCGTAGCATTTTGACTGACCTGTTGGACTAACTGTTGGACTACCTCAATCAGCTGGTCCACGCGAGGGTCTGAAACAGGAGACGTGGGTTGAGGAGGAACAGGACATGAAGGTGCGGGCGGAGGAACAAAGGTACCCGAGTACAGCAGATGCTGAGTGGGAGGATCGGAAGCTTCAAGGTGAGTCCATGACGCTTCACTAGCACCAGACCCGGAACTGCCTAGTGGAGCATGGGGTTTCGGTGGCTTAGGAGGAGATCCGGAGGTCGAGGCGCATGGAGCAGCCGACCGAAGCCTCTGAATCTCTCTCTCCTTGATCTGGCACTCTACCCGGACTTGATTTAGCTGAAAATTCAACATATTCAACTCCGTCTTTGCCTCTGCGAGCTGACGTTCAACATATTGACCGTACTCAAACAATTCCCCACATCGAATCTCCGAAAGCCTAAGCTGTTCCCGAAGCTGATCAACAGCAGACCCTGCTTCGGTCAACACGTCCCTGACTTGGCCTTGTACCTCACTGATAGAAGCCTGGTGGAGCAGCTCCGCCTGAGCGGCGACTCGATTGGCAGCTTCACCAGCAGCAAATTGCTGAGCAGCAAGGACTTGCTGAGGCGTGGCTCCTATGTTGAGCATCTGGTTATGAACAACAGTAGGAATACCAGACTCGTCGAGAGGGGCATTGACAGCTGGGTACGGGGCTGAAGCTTTCCTGGGAGTCCGAGCTAAGGCTCTTCGGTTGGCAGGGGGTGAGCGTTCGCGTTCAACCAAGGCTGAACTACTCTCTGAACCACCCGAAGCACAAGAGGAATCCCTCATACCCGGAACCGCGGCTGCTGAGGCACTGGAGATGTCAAGCAATGAGCTTGGATCAGTTGGGGTTGATTGAGATTGTGACATGATGACAGATGTGCGCTAGCAGGAAGGCAAGTCAGTGGCGCGATGCGCCAATCAGACCACACAGATACCCCCGGTCAGTGGCGCAATGCGCCTAACAGACCACACAGAAGTACCCTGAAGCCTGAAAGTAACCCTAAACCAAACTGCCGAGGACAAGATGGTGGCGCAAAGCAGCCTTTCACACCAAGTCCGAATGCACACGCTGAGCACTTCAGCCAGAGATCCAATTCAAAATGGAAGGTTCCGCCTCGAAAATCGAGGAAAAGGAACGACCAATTGACGGCAGATCCCGCCGAGGCAATTGGATGTGAAACGCAGCAGCGTTAGCCGATCTGTTCCACTCCTCACAGATCCCCGTGTTATCGTCTATTATCAACAACGATGGCTGCTGGAAAAGGCGTCGACAGATGTCAAGCTTTCCGAGGCGTCCTGTGCGGGATCGAGTGATGATGACTAAATAGGCTTGGCGTTGACCAACAGATTGTATAAAGGTGTTTCGAAGGGTGTCCAAGGCCCAATCCTCGATGCTCCTGGATCCCTCACCAATGTGGGAGCAAATCACCACCAATGCTCCCGCCTCCTCTGCAGCTCTGTGGACACGCCTAAGAAGACCCTGAACGTCCGAGAGCAACTCCGGTGCCTCGTTCGGGTAAGGGATCTTATACTGCTGCTTCCGCTGTCCAACGCGAGGTGCCCAATAATATCGGTCAATCACGTTGTGAAAATCAAATACGACGACCTTGCCCTCAAGCCGCTGGCTATCTTCGACTCTGAAGTTGCACCTGCTAAAAGTGTCTGGTGAATACAACAAGACGCTCCTCGGTAGGTCAGCAATAGGATCTGAAGTGAGGGCTGACTTCGGCGGCACCTTCGGGATCACTGCAGCCTGACTCTCCTGACTCTGCCTTGACGCTGGAGGCTTCGGTGGGTTCTTGGGAGGAGTCTTCGGAGCAGTAATCTTAGGATCAGGAGGATACGCCGGCGGAGTCGGAACAGACACCTTAGGCACCGCCGCAGTCTTCGCTGCGGGAGTAATCCTCACCTTCGGCGTAGGGGCCAACCGTTGTCCAGAAACTGAAGCTGTAACAGAAGGCGCTGAAGATGATACTTTCGCCGACGGACCCTGAGAAGGTGCTATAGCCACTGCGCTCGCCGATGACGAAGACGACGGCCGCACAGGCGGCGCAGGAGGAGCAGGTGGCGTGCGAATCCTATGATATCCCGGCACTGCCCCTGACGCCTTTGGAATGAGTGGCGGCTCCTCTGCTTCTATTTCAACCTCGACCAATTCTTCCTCGGGCTCGCTGTCGGATTCAAAGATGGGTCGCCAACCCGGCTTCGAATAAAGCGGCCGCTGACTGCCGTCGGAGTGACGGACTGGTACGTCGTCTAAGGAAGTATATCGGAACGGTTGAAGATTCAGCTGGTACTGCTGGTACGCTTTACGTTTACGTACCGCACTTTTCCCAGCTCGGATCCCACGTGGCCTCGGAAGGATCTCTGGGCCACGATCTGGGTCCGGTGCATCCATGGAGAGACTTACGCTCTAAAGGACTTCACCAAACCAAAAGGGAAGAACGAACACTACGGCTGATAACCAGTTATTCTGACCCCAAACAGAGACAACGCTATGTCAGGGTAAGAAAGGAGAGGAAGGGAAGGGAAACCCCAAAAGAAGGACCCTGCCCTGAACGTGAAGGCACAGCTCAGCGGCGCCTTTTTCATCTTGAGCCAAAAGTCGATGGCGTACTTAAGGCTTCAGAAGTTACATAGTCAGGTTACACTTCTTTACATGGAGGTTGTTCGTAAATCTTCAACTATATATGCATATATACACATACATGTGTGAATAGTTCTTAAATGAAAGTATTTTCATCTCTCCAAATCTCTATCTATGTCAATGTCTTTGTCTTGCATGCATGCATGCATTCATGGATGTATGTTTAGTCTAAGAGAATCGAGAGAAATTCTACAGCGCTGCTTCACGGGTTCTAGCTCGTCAATGTATACATATTCACATCAAGATACAAAGGCACACACACATACACACGTGCGTGCGCATTCTTCGATGCAGACCGTATAAGTATAAGAACGTACACAATAGTTAGCCCTACGTAGTTCTTTCCCGGCATATACGGATGGAACAAACCTGAAGCTGTAGCCTTCACGAAAACAGCAAAACAGTTCGGTAGTGGGAAGCCTGCGCAGCTACAGAAGTGTGTAAGCCTCTGTGAAGGCGAATCTCGTCAGGGCTCGCAGTGGGTCTTCACGACGACGTCGTATCCGTTGCAGTCTCAGCATACGTAATTACGCCGAAACCTTGCTAGATAAATAACAAACTTCCCACTGTCATCTGTGCGAGCGCTCTCGGGACCGTCGCCTACAAAGAGATTCCGGGGGCCTGGGACGACTGCAACGGGAGGCACGTGAGCATCGACAGCTCCATGCGCTTGATGCGGTCCTAACAAGCTCCCCTTTGGAGGCCGGCTACTCGACTCAAGACTTCAGAAGCTGATATAGTGAATATGTATATTATACCAATGTATATATATATATAACATGTGTATATATTTATATATATATATATATATATACACACAAAATGCCATAACACTCACTACATACAAACACAAATGGCTATTTCTAAATGAACTAGCCAATGTCCATCCACATGCATAAGCTAAGGTTGAATACCATATAGAAATATGCTTATGTGTTTTGCATGTGTAGGCAAACTCCATATCTATACTTGTACAAATACCACTCGCAAACATGCAGTGCTCAGCTAGCTGCCGCCAACTCTAACGGCATTTAACCGCATATGAACCTAATAGCACTCGAGGTAGCCGTGCCAAGAATCAGGTAGGATTTCTGCAAGCGAAAAATCTAGAAGTTTAACTTCAGCTGAGTCTTAAGTGAACACTGGCCACACATCAGGTAGATGTGACCAAGTTCCACTTGCATCATGAGACGTTCTTATGCACATATACCTCAGTACTAAGCGTTAATGAGTAAGGACAAGGTGTATAAACAAGTATTAGCTACACACCCATCAAAAATGCTGAAACACGGGGTGAACATTGTGCGAATATTGGGTGGCAAGCAGTACTAGTTTCTATTGATTTAATATTGGACTTAGCATGGTACCACACTCCTGTAATGGTAAAAACTGCATTCATCATGCTGTTTCAATCCTCTTTTGAAGAGAGGCCGACAGCAATACTTCGTGCTCGCACGTTGTTCTGAACATGGTGTGTGGAGTAGCACCGACACTTTGGCCATGAGGCGTGAAAGGAAAAAGGAAACAATACCAATAGACTGTTACAGACTGTGTGGATTTTCCGGAGGAGGGGAGGTAGCATGTACGCCACAGGCACAAGTCGATAGAAACACCGATGAGCCCCACCAAAGAAACAATGGTTTCACCTTTATTAGGTATACAGCAAATACTGAAGCCTTGGATACCTAACCCTCATCACAAAAGCCCGTCGAACTTGAGAGATGCGCTGCGAAGCCGCCGCAGGCTTCGCTGAGCCTGGTGCGCCACAGCTGGACGGCAGAAGGGTTTAGGTTTGGGGTTTAGGGTTGGGTTTAGGGTTTAGGGGTTTAGGGTTTAGGAAAGCGCAAGCCTGAAGACTATTCCCCAGGAAAGACTTGAGAGACGCTTATTGTTGTGGGAATGATCCAGCCTCTGCTTGTGGCTACGAGTACCTAGTCGCTGCTTGTCGCTTCATCTTTGGACCTGTGATGGTCAGTGTTCATTGGCTGGTAATGAAGATACGATGATCGCCCTATGTCCTCAACGACGACAGATTTTGGTCATGCTTGGTCGCGGTAACCGGAGGAAATGCCATAACACTAGTGGCACTGCTCGTAATACTTATAGCCTCGTAGCAACCGCAGGAGCAAGACCGACGATTGCACAGACAAAGATCTGATTCATCTTCGCGCTTGAAGTTTGAGTATGGAATGTCGTTCATGAAGGCAGGACCACGAAGAATCTGCATCGGAAACATTCTCACTGCCAGGAGCCTTTCGAAGGAAACCCCTCCTTGTGGCAGACCCCGTCTGCGTAGCTTCGTTTCTTCGTGCGTATTTACTTCCTTTCGGTTTGCAGGCGGTGTGTCAGGGTCAAGGTCTGCTTAGAAGCCGCACAAACTCCCTAAGTGAACGCAATAAGTCAAGTCTTGCTTTCGGCCACCGGGGGCAGCGCACACTCCGCTGAACTGGCGTCCCTCCACCTGGCTGTGAGCTTCAAATTTCGTAGGCCTTTTGGGTTTAGAGGGTGCAGGGTGGCGCCCCAGGGCTTTGGGACTTGGAGCCAGGCTGGGGCATGGTGTGTGATTTCTGGAACTGGTCGCAGGCATTTAGAGCAGCCGCCAAAGACCTGACATGATACAAGTATCTGAAGACCCCTGAATGTGCTAGCCAACTCGGCCTCCATCACCGTCGTCTGGCACCTTCTGCAGCGCCTGGTGCATCAGCCCACTAATGACACGCAGGGCTGAGCTTTCAACACTCCCCAATTCGCAAGCCTCCAGGCATCGCGCGAGCGCTTCGTCTCGGATTTCGTCGACCTCACATCTCCCCGGATCTCCCCAAAAAGAACGAAACCAACACAAACCTTCAAAACAAAAAATAGTCTGGGGCGCCCCGGCACCAGGAAGCCTAGGAGAGTGGTTGTGATTCTCCTGGAGAAGCGATGTGGCACCGGGTCGTGTTCTGGCAAGTTCCATGGACCTTTGGGTAGTAGAAATCGGGAAAAGCCTCAAACCACTCACTACTCCGAAAAGCCCAACTGATAAACCCTAAGCCGCCAACCAACATATACTCCTAAAAGTCGCCATTGATGTACTGAGAAGACCTTCAGATCGCCCAGAAGACTAACAATTCAAGATTTCCTTCTCCCAGCTCCGCGTATCTCGGTATCCAATTACATAGAAACTGAAGGCCTCAACGTCCGAAACTCCAGAAGCCCTTAAACTTAAGAACAACCCCAGTGACCCTTTATGGTATCCCTCTAATTACATACTCCGACTTGTCCCTCTCATAGCATCCCTTCTAAGAACCTTCTGAGCCCGAAATTCTCCTCCTCTTTCTGGCCGAGGACCACCTTCAAGGCCCGGAGTGCGAACTCAAGGCCTCTGCTGTTTGGGGCTTCTCGAGCAGGTAAGAGCTCAGGATCGTGTGTAATAAGGGGCTTACTGCCCAGAACAGGGTTTAAACGGTTTAAGGGGAATACGACCGTGTACTTACTTTTGGAATATTCTAATAATTTTAATGAATGTATACATTCATGAATACAAGTTTGTCAGACCTCTATACTGGTGCTTCAGGGTTTAGGGGCTTACGGCACGTAGAAGGCTTTTCAGGGAGCCCGCTTGCTCTGCATTCACTAGGGTTTTGGGCTTACAGAAATTTCCGGGTGTTGGTAAACTGGACCCAAACTGGACCCAAACCATCCAAACGCCCAGAGGAATCCCGCTTTTCGGAATCTTTGCGAGACAGCAAAAGGGTCTGTAACACAATACAGTGGGTCTTGGGGATCTCTTTGGCACCAGGCTCCCAAGAGTTCGCGAACTCTCAGCGCTTGGCGTGAGCGAAGCTGCGGGGCAAGAGATACTGGCCACATCTTCACCTCAGGTCTCGAGGCATACATATATACATATGTACATGCGTGGATACGCATGCATGCATGCATGCATGCAAATATGTAGGTATATTAACATATATAGATAGGTAGATAGATAGACAGAGAGGATCGATAGATATAACTAACCAACAGTAACAATAAGACTACATAACAACAGCAATACTAGCAACAAGAACAATAGTACCAATGATCATGAAAGCAGTAAGATTTATCGTCATCATCATCATCATCATAAAATAGGAATGAAGGCATTTGGCAGGCCCGGGGCCCCTCCCCTGCCAGGCCCAGGGCTGCGGTAGCTGTGGCCAAATGTGAACTTCTACTTGCATCTAAACTGGGAGGTGCTTTTACAGCCTTCGAAAAATCTTAAGATCCTCTTAAGCTCAGTAAGAGAAAATGTAAAACGTCCCGAAGCCCTACCTAGTAATTAAATCTGAGTTCATCATCTGAGTGATCCCCAGCTCGTCACAAACTGCGACCCACCGACATCTAGCCCGAAACCCCGTGTGCCCATTCACATGAACTCTATGATGCGATAAGATGCCTCAGTCCGCCGTCTTTCTCAAAAGAGAGAATAGGAACCGGGAGAAGCACAATAACAACAAAAGAGGTGAACAAAAACACACACACACACACAGAGTTGAAACTCCTTAGCTCCTTTGGGGTGCGGACGTCGTGGAAAAGGAGAGCCTGCAGCAAGGCGAGCCCCATGGAATGGCGCCTCAGCTTTACGGCTCTTAAGGGTTCCTTTAAGGGCTCCTTCAAAGGAGGTTCCTTCAAGGCTTTTTGGGGGTTCTAGGGTCTTCTGGGCTTTTAAGCAGAGGTCTTCAGGGGCAGCTTTACGGCTTCAACGTGTCAAGCTAGAATGTCTAGGGCGCCTTGTTCGGAACCACGCTGGAGCTGTACAATCTCGGAGCCCCGGAGGCCAACGAGAGAACCAAGCGGATAATCAGAGGCATGGGGGCCCGGGCTGATTTGAGTCGAAAGAAAAAATGAAGGCACCCTGCAATGGTATATGCCGTTATATGCCAGTACGGAATGTTGAGCCACATTTCCATGTCGAGGCTCCCGAGAATTGACCTCGACACCTTCATGCTAGCAGACTCCCAATGTTTCAGTTCCGAAAACTCGGTGACCTTCAAACTCTAAATCCTAAAACCCCAAACCCGAAGGACAGCGACGCCACATGAAAGCCTCAGATACTCCTCCACTCTACTGCAGAGCCCGAATTCAGGCGGAAGGGTCTTCACCAAACCGAAACCCCGAAAGCAAAGAATCCCTGAAACGCGGCAAACTCCCACCTATAAGGACCTGACATAGCATCGCCATGACCTGAATTGGAAAAGCGGTGACTGCGCTCCGTTTATCGCCTTATAGCTTCAGAAATTTGGGGGCTTCTGGGTTTCGAGTTTGGGAGGTTGTGGAATGTTGCGAAGTTCCCTGGAATGGAGTTCGCAAAACATGTATGAAGTGGGGATGCTAGACTTCAACTGCCTCTGCCTAAACCCCTTCCTTCTTACGGAACCGATGCCAAAATAGATCTAGAATCAGAACTCTCGGTTACCCATGTAAACCCAAAGCTCTCAAATTCCCAACCCAAATTTTGAGCCTTAGAGTTTTCCTGCATCAGCCTAAGCTCCCGACGAGCCACCGGCGCAAACGGTCCGATGGGAAGCTGCGGATCCTCTCGCTTGGGTACGGCCCCCATACAGTAACAGTCCAAACTAGGGCCACCATTAAGGTCCTATTATCTCTATATTATGAATATTATCCAACTGTTACTGAGTGGGGGCAGTACCTACGACTGCAGCTCTCGAGCGCAAAGCATCACCCAAACCCTGTGCTTCAGAAGCCGAGCCTTGATGCTAAACCCCAACTGCCAGTCTCGGAGAATGATGGGCCCCCAGTTAAAAAAGGAGCCTTTTGTTAATTACCAGCATTATTTTGGGGGTTTCTCATTCAACATATAGTATAATGGGCCCCAGAGCCCTATTCTACTTATTAAGCCCCCTGTATTACATTAAAGTAAAAGCCAGAAAGTTGGAATATTATTATCCTAAACCCTTTATGGTAAATTATGAGGTATCCTACCCTGAAACCATATTCCAACTTTCTGGAGTTCCCTTTATGGTCAACCCTTAGCTGGAGTCGGTAACCTAGCATCCCACCCGCGTGGAGGATCGACCCAGTAGTCCGTCGCCAGGTCCGACACGGCCATGATCAAAGGGGCCAGCATCAAACTATCCTGCAGGAGCTTGTGGGGGGTCTGTACCCAGAGGCCCCAAAGTAGTTCCTTTTTGGGATTACCTTATAGAATTCTATATATGAACCCCAAAAGGAACTACTTTGGGGCCTGTGGGTAAGGCATGACTGAGACTTTCTTTTCAAGCCGCTACACTGCGGATTCACTGCTCTTGCGACGCTCGAATACCAACCTCAAACCCTGCGAACCAACCACAAACAATATACAAACCACCCTAAATTTACTAAACCCTAAACCCTAAACCCTAACCCCTAAACCGGGAACCCCATGTCGAAAGCTCTTTGCCAACCCTTCTCAGCGAAGAGCCGACGCCACTCCTGGGACTCGCTGGCCCAAAGTACATCGCTGTACTCAAGCGGGTTCCATGGAGTGTGGTACATCAGAGCCTCTCAGAGGCAGGCTTAACTGGGCTTCCGGGGGGATGCTTCAGATCCTAAGAAACCCTTGCTGTCCTTGTTATCATCATAGGAATAATATGGGCCCCAAAACCCTGTTCTAATTGTGAAGGCCCCTGTAGCCAGAACTCCCGGGCTTCAACCTTGGCTTTGAACGCGACTGGGGCCCCCGAAAATCCCCAAGACCACGCCCTCGGCCCCCACTTCACCCGGGCTTCCAACACAAAGGCCCAATCCGGAGAATGCCAACCTGGCAAAGCTTGCAGCTGGACTGTTTTTGGGAGTGCCTGCAGGTTCATAGTGACTCGTTTCTGGGATTTAGATGTTTCGGGTTGTTGGAGCTCGAGGCTTCGAAATTTGTCTGATTGTGCGTTTAGGCGGTGGCTTGGTGTTCTCCATATCACGTATCTTGCGCCTAGTTCGGGACTCCCTGCTTTTTGTGATATCCCCAGTGGCAAGAGAAGCATGCCTGAGCTTCAAATAGTACTGCCCTCTATCATCCTCTATCCGTAGCCATGTCTATACTGCTAGCACACACATCTGTCGGCGAAATCAACGAATTTCGCAGTCGGACCTGAGGCATGCATGCTCTGACGGAGACACCCCAGAAGGACACAAACCCTAAACTCCCTGAGGCCTACGACTATTTTTAGTAGTATTGTCATGATGAGCAGCATAATTATTATTAATACTATACCCAGAGGCCCCAAAGTAGTTCCTCTTTGGGATTACCTTGTAAGAATTCTACATATGAATCCCCAAAAAGAACTACTTTGGGGCCTATGGGTACATTCTCGTAAACTCTAACCCTGAACTGTGCGAAGCCCCAGCTTCCCTCTCACGACCTCGATCCAGTTGGGGCCAAGGTCAGGGAGAACGGAAAACTCTGCCCTTCGAGTCGTAGCCTCAGGGCTCTGTGGAGCTTGTAGGGTGGGATTTAGACTTCGTTGTTTATAGATGTCCCTTTCTCGGTCTCGCAGAGTTTAGGGGTTTAGGGTTTCGGGGTTTGGGATCTATTTCATGTTTCTCTGTGCTACGAGCTCTCAATACGTAAATGCATTAGTAGTTCTCCTCGTTTGTGTGTGTGTGTCTTTGTGCTTTTGTGTGTTGTTAGTGGTGGCGAGTGTGCGGTTCAGTTTAGGGAGACTTGTTGATTTGGGCACCGCACGTGTTCAGCTTGCGGCGGTTTGGGACTTTGCGGTATCCGCCAGCGCGTCAGAGGTGCTGATCTTCGGTCCTAACACTTCAAGTGATCCAGAAGCCAGAAGATGCAAACAAACCAAACCCTAAACTCAAAGCCCAAACCCATACGTGACTTGGAGCAGTTTCTTTACGTCACTGACAGGGCATGACAAGTTGCGTCAGATAACGGTGGGACCCCGCAGCTTCAACCCCTCCACCCTCTCCACCCATCGAAACCCAAAAAACGAAACCGCCCGGGCATCCCGCTTCCTGGATTTCAATAGCACGACGCTACGCCTTTATGCATCTTTCACAGACTGAGGGACCCAGAGCACCCAAATTCCAGGATCCTGGCATTAGGACCCCAGAGAGCACCGCCACTCCTCCCATTAAGAACTGCCCAAATTAGAACAGGCTGTCAGCAGCCGGGTGCCCAGCGCGAGACCGTGCAGTGGCAAAGGCACTCGTCCCGATCGGCCGGCAAGCCCGGTGCCTTTGGTTTAGGGTTTATATTTTCGGGCTTAGGATCTATATAAGGTATAGTTATTTTTTGTTTTTTTTTGGGGGCTGGGGTGGGGGGGCCTTTTTGGGACTGTGCAGCTGCTAGGGTTTATAGGGTTTACCTCTCAGGCGAAGGCACAGCTAGGGCAAAGGGCTTTTGGAAGATCTTGGGCCCTTTCGGCTTTACCCAGAGGCCCCAAAGTAGTTCCCTTTTGGGATTACCTTATGGAATTCTATATATGAACCCCAAAAAGGAACTACTTTGGGGCCTGTGGGAGGGCCTTACGGTTCCAGGTTCATCGGATCAATGAGTTTAAGGCTTAGGGCTTCAGGGTTGAGGGTTTAGGATTTCAAGTTCAAAGTTTCCTGGTTTGTCATACAAGTTTTACGGCGTGACGATTCTGGGAGTCTCAGAACAAAACACTAACGTCGCAGTACCTCACCCCTGACTTCAAGAACCAACTATCGACGGCCTTTTGAGTTCAGAGATGCGGCCCGGAGGCTCTTGAGGCAAAACCCCTAAACACACCAAACTCCCTGTCGACCCATCGGAAAAAAACTAAGTGAACGGTCAGGAGAGACATGCCCCGCCAGCGCTGACTGCAAATCTTGCACTTAGATGCCTCAGGTGCCTTGGAGAACACCAATGACCCAAAACGCAAAACTCTACACCCCAACCCCCTTCCCGCCGAAGCAATGGGTTTCAGGCTCACAGTGACCGGAGCCGGCAGATGGATGTAACTACCCTGCCGGCAGCGACGAGTTGCGTTGATGGGTTTGCGCCTGAACAAAAATCTGGGGTTGATGACTTACCAAAGCGTAGGTTCGGAGACGGATTGAGACAGATATTCGTTAATCTGGTAATGACATAAGATTAGGGAAGGCCTGGGAAGGCTCAATGTAATGTACATGGGAAAACTCGTCGCAGGCAATCAGTTGCTGTCACCCCCAAGATGAATGCTCTCGACTCTACTCGGTACAGCGCCTATCGCGTGTATGCTAGCTGCTCGCCGCAGCCTCGTGCTGTGCACATCTACGAACGAAATCCTTTGCTGCTACACATCTCATCATGCTACCAGCACCTTCACGGGAGTCTTATGTGCTACATACGGTGATACCTCGCCTTGCCGGCACTGCAAAGCAGCAGGTTGTCTGCTGCACAGCCTGGCAGTGCCATCACTGTCACACCCATTACCGCGTCGCAAGCCTATTTTTTAAGCTTCCAACACCTCATGGCTCTAAGACTCCATGGCCTCTAATATGGGGGCCTTAATAATTAGATTAGGGTTTTGGGCCCCATTATACTATAATAAGGAACCCCCCAAACTAGCAAAGGTGATTATCTAGGCCCCTACATGCTTGCCAAACACGGTGTGAGCCCAAGTTCCGAACGAACGAAGGCCATCTCCACGACGTGCTTTGGGACCTCAGGCTTCGATCTTCAAGGAACCCTGCTGCCTTTTACTTTTTAGGGCGTCAGGGTACTAGGCTTTTTTTTTGTTTGAGGGCCTTTTTGAGTCTGCATGACAGAGTCTGACAGCTTCCTCAGCCCATATTGGGCATTACAACCCTTTGCTCATCATACCCTGCTCATTACGTCCAGATCATGATCCCTGGCAGCATCAGTGTCCATTGGCATCATCGCAGGGTACTAGGGTTTAGGGTCTAGGGCTTAGGACACAACACATCTCAATACAACTATTGCCATGTTGTATCATATTGTAAAACACGCGTTCAAGCAAACCCATGATTCAATGCAGCACGGATGGGAACTAAGGTGCTGTCGTAGCTGCCACGAGTGCGATCGACAAGTCCGTGCCTGATGGCAAACAACGTTGAGCAATGTCGTACAGTCCTACCACCACTTCGGTTCAAATGCCCTGGTGAGGCGCAGACTGCATGGCGTCCACAAACTCCCAAAGAGTGTACAGCAGCTGGCCGTTCCTTCGGCACAGACGAAAATTATTCGCAGTATCGAGGCGTGAGAGCTTGAGTAAGCTTGATCCGAAGTGCCGGAGATTCAGATGAGCTTCTACGCTTCTGCAACGAGGAACCGACGTTGTAAGACTGCTCGAACCTAACCCATGGGTTGACATCTCAGTTTTGGCTTTTCGGGCTATGGGAAACCCAAGGAATGCAAGCACGATGCACCATATGGCAGAACAAATTGAAAAGATCACGCCTCAAAGCCACCAAGGACACATTAAACCTGAGACAGCTGGGATCGGCACTCAGCCAATCTTACGGCGAAGACCTCTCTTCGGCCGGCCTGACTCCGGGCTTCAGGCGTTTCAAGGCTCGGGTTTAGGGTCGGCAGCCCGTAGGCTAGGTTTATTCAAATCCAACACGAAGCACATTCTAGTCACTTGGTCACTGCTCCGTGGCTAGCTCTCACCGTGTTGTAGTGCGTATAGCTCCTTCAAGTAGATGAGGCAAGTTGCCAATCACCAGGGTTCAATGTAGGAAGGGGGCCGAGGCAGCAAGCATCATCAGGATAAAAGAGTCTGGATGGCCGTGACCATCGCCATCATCACCAACAACATTAACATCGTCTTGATCATCATCGTCATACGTATGACCATCAGAGTCACGGTCAGAATCATCGTCAACAACAGTACCACGCTAGTACCAGCACAGTTATCACAGTTGGTGGCAACCTTACCATCAGTATGAACGCGCCTTTGGTTTCAATCTCACTCGACATGAAGGGCACAGGTAAGAACCTCCGATCAACTTGACTCAGGTACAAGCCATGGACACTTAAGCCTGGAGCCTTTTCGGAGGCTTGAATCTTAAGCCCTCAACCTTGAACACCTAAAGCCCCTAAGCCCCAAAACCTGAACCCGGAAACCGCAAAACCTTACACCACTAAGTCGTAAACCTTTTCCGGAACTTTCAGTTCGGAGATCGCCTCGACTGGCACCAAGGTCGACCATTTTTGGCTCCAAGGACTCAGAATTTCAGCAGCAAGACTTTTTATTCTGCTTGTCTCTGGCTAAAACCCAAGACCCTAAACCCCAAAACCAAAGCCTTGGACTTTGCAACTTCTATGCTTCTCTGCCAGGCAAGCCCGGGTCCAGAGAGCCGCCCTACACTTTGAGGCCAGCTTGCAAACAGGGTAGTGCCATGACATTGTCCTTGCTACTAGTACGGCTGTTTTGCCATATTAAGTACGTCATTGTTAGGCTTACTACTAGTCACTAGTCTGCACAGATGGGTGGCATGATGAGAACCATCGCAAATGGCATTATTCCTGCTGTCATCGATACGCTTCTTACTACTACTACTACTACTACTACTACTACTACTACTACTACTACTACTACTACTACTACTACTACTACTACTACTACTACTACTACTACTACTACTACTACTACTACTACTACTACTACTACTACTACTACTACTACTACTACTACTACTACTACACTACTACTACTACTACTACTACTGCTACTACTACTACCTACTACTACTACTACTACTACTACTACTACTACTACTACTACTACTACTACTACTACTACTACTACTACTACTACTACTACTACTACTACTACCACTACCACTACTACTTCTACTTCTACGCGATGACTGTCATTACGACTGCTAGCAAGTACTAGTGGTGTCATGGCTGCAACAGGATATGTATATACATATATATATATATATATATGCATATATGTATTGCTTTAATGTTACTAACACTAAGCATGGGCTTTCTTTCTCCTTCAGAGCGAAAACTCCCCATGATGGTGCTGAGGTATCTTTATCTTCGTCATTGATAATGATGCTGATGACAGGCAGAACCAAAGCTGGGACGCCCAGCATGTGCTTGATGCCCGCAGCGGCCGCTTGTGCCTGATGCCCACACAAATATGCACACGAGAAGGCGAATGCCGAATCCACCGAACACACGCCTACGACCCGCATCCTCACCGGCATCAGCACTCTCATCACTAAGCGCTATCAACTCCGCGGCCTTCATAGTAGCTGTCATGTTTTCACAGAGCCCATCATTGGCAACCATAGACCGACAACTGCACAACCGTCAAAAGACAAGGCAGCTGCTCGGGCAGCTTCAGCTGCTCGCAAGAGCTTGCGTGCCTGCATGTGCAGTTAGGCGGCGATTGTGTAAAGTTGGACCTGTTTTTTTTTGGGTGGGTGTCCTGACTGTTAACAGCGACGCCTTCCATTAGGGTCCCGCAGCAGAAATCCTACTCTAGAAAACTGACCATGTGCAGGTGCGGCTTGACTAGGTACCGAAGCAGCGGGTCTGGCAGGACAGCAGCTGGATTGATGACATGACATAACAAGCGGGAAAGAGACGCTGACTGGAGTAGCCCTGCTTTTTCACATCTGGCTGGCACCTCTCACATGCTATGTACAAAGGCACCGTTGGCCAGCTAGGCTCACTTGTTGAAGCCGCACGCCTGGTAGCAAAAACGCATGCACAGGCTTGCTTACCGTTTGGAGGAGTCGCGCAACTTGGGAAACTTTCTGCAATTCCGGCCCCTGAATCGAACCAATATTTAAAATCCCAACAAGCACAGATATTTCTTTTCATAATTAGCACTGCCTAAGGTGCCAAGAATCATCATCGGTTATCTGCTATAGGAACAACAGAACCAGCATGCCTGATCTGTGTTGTTAACACGGCCAGTGCCAGCAACTGCAACAGTAAAAATAAAAACCCGGCACAACACCTCACAATCAATGTGAACAAGACCCAAAGGGTCCAAGTATCATTTTGGTAATACTTATAGGGTATTTTCGGGGTCTAAGTATATACCACAATGATACTTGGACCCTTTAGGATATCAATAATAAACCAAAATCAGACCAGAAGCAATACGAATGCCAAAGAACCGAGTCAACATCGATGTAGCACCTGAGCTTGAGACCACACGTTGCAACACTCCTGTTGAGTGTAAGCTCTGAACATATATATATATATATATGTATGTATATATATATATACACCTATACATACATGTAAAAACTTATTCATTTTTGCATACATATTTCTTATGCAACCACAAAACAAGCACGACTCCTTCACCCTTTTTGGCATCCAGGCCTCTCTGACCCCTTCACCCTGATTCCCTAAACCCTGAATCCCAAGACCCCAATTCCCCCACCGGCTTGGCCTCTACTTGCAGCCGCTGAGGATGTAGGAAGTGGGAGCCTGCCAAGAACAAGGAGTCTTGGGGATACCAAAACATTGCATAGCCCGGTAGGGTGCATGCTCAACTTTGGGTTCTAGGGTTTAGGGCTTACAGGGTTGAGGGCGTGGGGCCAAATATAGGGGCCTCTATTTAGAATAGGGTTTTGGGGGCCCATTATACTATAATTAGAATACGGAACAGGGTTTTGGGGCCCATTCTACTATAATTAGAATACGGAACCCCCCAAAGTGGTATGGGTAATTAGGGAGTTTCCGAAAATAGGGGACCACCAAAAAAGTACCCTAAATAGTAGGATCCTTATTTTTCAGGGCCCCGAAACAAGGTATCCCTAATTTCGGAAACTCCCAATTATTGACGCCCCTATATTTAGGGAGTGAGCAGCCCGGATGGCCTCCTCGGTGGGATTCTCGCAGACTCTCACGGAGGCCTTACCTGAACTGGCAAGGGCTTTCGGGCGCGTGGCCGTGAAAAGGGGCTGGCACCCGCTCTGAAAACTGAAGTCAGAACCCTCAAGCCCTAACCCTGGGTTTAGGGTTTAGGATGTAGGTTCTGGGGGCGTGGAGGTCGGCCATCTTGGCTAGCAGCATCTTTACATACCCCACCGGAACCGGATGGCTAAGTCTATTCATGCACCGTCTGTGCTTGGGGCTGTGGTATTCAGAAAAAAATAAGTCTGATCTTCGGGCACTTGCTCTGGCTGGCGGTGGGTTCAGGGGATGAGGGCTTCTACACGAATGGCTTATGATGTCATGATACTAGTCTACGAATCTACGAATACCATATTAACAAAACTCTTACAATCTTAATGCTGGTTATTTCATTTGGCCGAGAAGCCTGTGTACCCGGACGCGCAGGCGACAGCCACATCGAAGGAGTTCGCTCGGAGAACGAATTCCGAGATGACATACCCGGTTGTGTCCTGAGGCAATGCATGCTCGGCTGAAATCGAACAAAAACTCTGCAGCAGAGGCATACATAACATGCAGCGGAGGCACCGAAG